GGGGGGGGTTGTGTTAACTAAGTATTATCAATTTAGTGGTCTTTAAAACGTGCTCACAACTTGCCAGTTGATTATGACTCCTGTCATATGTCATGACACACTGCTATATATTGGCAATACTGGCCCTGTATTTACTTGATATCGGATCGATACCAAAATTTGTAGTATCACACAGCACTACTGAATTCCTCCCGGACCGCCTTGATTTCCAATTTTAAAGTCACGCGCTCACACAGGGACACGGTTTGACTATCACGTCACTCCTGCTTTGCATAACCGCCGGGGCTCGCGCCTTTGATTGGGCCGGCGGTGGGATTTAATCTGCGTTTTCTTTTATGACCGCCACGCTTCGCCTTCAGTCTGCAGCCGGACTCCTCCGCCACTCCTCCCCTTCGGGTCCGTCCTTCATTAAGGGGAGCAGCCCGTCGCCTCCTGCCGCTGCTCAAACGTGGAGGGAAGGAAACGAGGAGGGACGCCCGCCGCTGAACGCGCGGCTCTATTGTTAGTTCAGTAAAATTTACGGCTTCGCCTGCATATTTAGTGCGTTTCGCGTCGTCTTCGGGGCCGAAAGGGGCCGACTGTTTGTTTCCTCGGGAGTCTTAACGACGGCTGAAAGGTAACGGACAATTTACTACGCTGTAACGTTTCTGCCGCGAGCGACATCATTCGAGTTAGGCTACATCTTTGCACAGTTTTCTGCTAAACTAAAAAAATACAGTTCTGCCTAGAAGGGCTCACCCTCTTTGTTTTATTTTAGCATCTCTTAAATGAAGAAAGCAGCGTTTGTTTTGAAGCCAGACGCCCTCTTTGTGGCGTGGAGTGGTCGGTGTGTAGCTTGATGGGATGATGGATGTGAAACGTTAGCACGGAGCTGGGCGGTGGTTCCGGTGTGCCGTTCTGTCTCGGGGTGAAATTTATCCCGATGTACGGTGCTCCAGGTTCTCGGTTTGACAGGGTCTCCGTTGGCATCAGATTCAGTTTACTGAGCAGCTTCACGTCAGCCTCCCCGGCGTACACACGCTATTGTTCTGCGAGGCAGAACGACGGGGCCCTCTGCTAATCGGTGTTATTAAAGCTGCCTTTGAGGCGTTTAAATCACCCAGAAACTCTAAACCAGACTATTGGGGAGGTAAAATTGGAACCAGGCTTGCAAAGTTGGATATGTGGGCATCTTGTGTTTTCTTTTCCTCATATGGTGTATCTTTAGGCGTTGATCTGAGAATCTTACTTTGCCATTCATGCGAATTCAAGTTCCCCAGTCATTTTAAGCACCGTGCACCTTTTGTTTTCTTGGCACTGCCAGCTTAGTAGTTTCTTTCCAAGATTACCATCAAGGCCTGTTTTCATATTTGCATCTCTGCACATGGGGTGATCTCACTCTCCACCTGGCAAAGCAGTAAGTAAGGCAGACTATCAGAGGCACCGTCTGCAGATCTCAATGATAGAGCGATGCTGTTTATCCTCCAGGTTTTGGCTGTGAGTCTGCATTACATAATCACTGTGTTTTGGGGCTTGACTGGGTGTGGTGTGGCAGGGTTTTTGGAATCCGGACCAGTGACTGTCCCTGGCTTCAGAAATGTTATTTACATGCAGGCCCTTGCATTTGGGTGTGTGTTTCTTACTCCCAAACCCATTTCATCACTTGGGTGTGACACAGGGTGTGGATGACACAGCCACATGACACCCACCCTTCTCTGTTTATTCTGACTGTCTGGCTAAGCTCTTAGGCGGTCATCACAGGTTTACTGCTGCTGTGTCCTACTTCAGAGGATGAATCTGGCAAAATCTGCACTTCTGCCCCATTTAAAAGGCTCATCGGAAACGAATGGAGAAATGCAGTCACCTTTTAACTGAATTTGAGTGACTTGGCTGGTGTATTTGTGTACTTCCTGGTCACAGATGTCGAGCATATGAAGATGCATCAGATATCTACTGTTTTAGCAGCATATGATGGAGTGTAGCTTTAAAGTTAAGTAAAAGGCTCGCATATTTTGCCAGCCTGTAAACTTGGACACAGCTGTGTTTGATTGGGTTTTTTTTTCCCCCTTCATACTGTACAGCCACTTCCCCTGCCTGCACCCCCGTTTCCTCTTCCTCTTCCCAAAGGTCAAAGCAACCGAGAAGAAGGGCTTGAAATAGTTTTTTCATTTCAGTGCCTTCTGTAACCTTAAACTTCAATGGCTGGATAAAGGGGGATTTATAAACAGGAATGTGCAAGTATTATGAACTTCTTTTTAAAATCCAAACTATCAGTAGCAAATGAAACATTTTTACATTATTAGTACAAGAACTTAAAAAAAAACCCCAAACTACTACATTGAATCGGAGGAATTGATTTAAGCATTTGCTGCAAGTTCAAGTTCTCTGCACATCCTTCAGCCCTGGTATGCTTGGCTTGTAAACTTTAAGGCTTGTTTTATGACTGAGCCTGGGCAGTGGTGCCTAATGGGGAGACTGCAGTTGTTGTTTTATTTCAGGCATGACGGTCTGTGCGAAAAATGCAGGTGGCTGCGTTTGAGAGATCTAGTGTGACTGGCTTGTGTAAATGGGTACGGTGCACTAGGGAGCAAGTCTGTAACTGATTAACAAACATGTCCTTTTGTTTTGTGTGGAATGCTTCAGATACCTCCTTGTCAAACCTTGCCAGCTACGAGGCGCCTTCAGGTGGATTCTTGGTCGCGTTTGTGTCTGGTTGGAAAAACGCGAAAGGATTAAAAAACTAAAAAAAAAACCAAAAGCACAAACAGTGGCTGCAGCACTTAGTTTTTTTTAACATTAAATTCTCTACACTCCAAATATGTTGCCTATTATGACTTTTCTATGACAGGAAAAAGGTAAAGGACCAGCAACAGTATTAACATAACTGTTACAACACTAACAGACTGTCAGTGCTGGGATTGTTATTTGAGGTGATGGGTAAATAAAAGTGGCAATTTTATGTCTCAAGTTTCACTTTCAGTTTGATAACTGCAGTGATATTCTATAGGATTATTCCTGATTTTTGGCTATTTATTCAGCTTTGCATTGGCTCATCATGTGTGCATCAGCTCTGAGTGGATATGATGTCAGGGGTTCAAATCGTATTCAGTTCAACTCAGGTTTATTCACGTAGTGCTAAATCACTACAGCAGACACTTAAAGACATTTATATTGGAAGGTAAATGCACTATAATTTTAGAAAGAAACCCCAACAATCCAATGACCCACTATGAGCAAGCACTTGGCGACTGTGGGAAGAAAAAAGTCCCTTTTAACAGGAAGAAACTTCTGAAAAGATGCTGTAGGTAGTCCAAAAAAAAAGACCTACTGGCAAATTTAAAAAGAAGGCAAGTTTAACCAATAGAGAATTAATGCCCCTGTGAATTCATTCTTGTATTAATCATTTTAATTTCTAAAAGAAATTAGAGCTCATGTCCATCAGTCACCTTATGTCATGTCAAAAATCAGAGCAGATGAATGAAAAGCGCATAACCCTTGCACAGCATGGAGTATTTGCATTTGCCTGGAAGTGAGCTGGTTACATCTTGTAACCAGAGTCCGTATCAGTCCCACACTCATGGAAATTCAATCCACACTTTTGTCATACTATACTAATGTCTGATCTGGTGGAAAGTTCATATGATGATCTTTTTAAAAATTCTGATTAGAATGAAAAATTCCCAATAGCTAGATGTTAACCACCTCCATATCAACAAACCAAACGTGAGTGGTTGTGAGGTAATTAGAATGATGCTCAGTGCTCACACTATGGGACTTTGATATGCAATTAAATTTGCAAACAAAAGGCAGCAAAATGGATAAAAATGGCTGCAAAAAGACAAATATCCTGAGAGAAACCAAAGGGGTTCAGATACAGCATCTCATTTTCTAGTCAAGCATTGTGGTAATTTTTATCCATTTTTATTAAATAAAAATGGAGCCAAAAGTGCTCATATTTAAGGGAGCTTTGCTGAGTTATCAGCTTTTACATGCGGTTTATTCGTTTATAATAAACTCATTGGGAAGAAACTCACTTTTAGGGTTTTGTTTTCTATTTAAATTGTATTTTATTTATATATAAATTTTTACTTTTAACCCCTAAAAGTTGTCTCATAATCGGTTTAGTAGATTGGACACCAGCAGATTTGCATAATGTTAGAGTGGCTCAGAGTCCACTCATGGGAATTTTGAAAATAAAATACTTGCAGCCAGGGGATGAAGTGGGATTTTTGCACTGTGGGACAAAAAAAGTCCTCAGCAACCACAGAATTTGTGCTCTTAAGCTCTCATAGATTTGTTTTCTTTGTGAGCCGGCTTGTGATTGGCTGTCTTGTACAGTCTATTGAGTTACATGTTAACTGGCACAAAAGAGCATGATCTTTAAACTGATGGTCACACACCTACAGTAACACTCTCCCCCTCTGCACTAGGTCACATTAGTTAACTCTTGTCAGTTTTACCACAACACTGCAGAGTTTGCCGATCCATAGCCGGTTCGGCATTCCCAGATAGCCTTTTAAGTAACACATTATTAGCCTTCATTTTACATGTTATGAAATAGATAATTTCAATACCTTTCTATGAAATGTCATTTGTTTGGTTGAAAGCTATAGTCGTGATATTTGAAAGTAAATGGTAAATTCTATCATGTTGATTTATGCGGACTCCTCTTCTGTAGCACTATGCTAGTTGCTGAAGTTGGCTAAAAAGTGGTACCACAGCTTTGGTTTCCATCAGTTTCTACATGCATGAATGTCAAAAAGCTGGATTAATTGTGAGTGCAGGGTTGTGAGGCTACCAGCAGTGTGCTTGAACCCTGCTCCACTAGATCTGTTTAGGAAGACTTTAAGGGTTAAACTTTATTTCATCCTTCATCCACCCTTGTTGCCTGTGTTTTTCTCTGTAGCTGTGGGATGGTAAGGATGTAATGCTCATCACTGTGGTTTGGAGGCTGGTACTTTGCTGCCCATTAGCATAGAGTAGTGGATGCTGGCGCTGCATTTTTTTTTTTTTTTTTTTTTTTTTTTTTTAGGTACTCTGTCTGGAACTGTGAAGCCAGTCTCAATGCACTGTAATTATTGAAACAGTACTTCAGCACTTTAGAATATGTCTGTTAGCTCACTATGGTAGCCTTGAATGCCTTCCTCAAACCAGATATTTTGTGGTTGTAGAATACAGCAAAAATGGTTTTTTTTAAGATGTTTTAAAATTACATTTATAGGCTGTATTTAAAAAAAAAAAAAAAAAAAAAGTTATTAGAGTTTATTTGGGTTTGTTTGTTGTAGCATTACAAAGAACAGGTAATGAGAGAACTGTAAACAATGAGTCCTGTGTTTGTGTGTGGCTAAATGCCAACGGTTTTAACTAGATTAGTTTTTGTATTGTATGAGTAATATGATGCCTGAGAGCTTGTCCCCTCTTTGACACATGCAGCCTTCATGTCCACTAAAGCACGAATTGAGTTTCCTGGCTCTGAATCAGCCTTTAGGAGATGACTGTGTATGTAAGCACAGTTGGTCTGTATTACCTTAAGTCTACCATTTTACTGTGTAAAATGTGTGACCATTTCAATGAAAAACTAATTTATTTTATGTTTGAATTAATCCTGCACTTCTAAATAATATTATATTCATATCG